ATTCGTTACAATATATATAGTATCTTTGAAAGCCACTAAATAAAACTTCAAGCTCTTATCCTTCTCACCAACATTGTTGAACTTTCCTTGCAGTGTTTGGATATCAAACTTAGGGCGATCCATCATATGGTCCTTCGTGCGATCTCCTGGCACTCCCTTAGGCCAGGTTTGTTTCTTCTTAATTATAACCATGCTATATAGTCCGACTGTCAGTAGGTAGTACAATACTTTAAGAACGCAGAACCCGGAATCCAAGATGACTCGTCTATCAAAAAAAAACCAACAATATGCTCGCTAAACTTTAAAGGTGGCAAGTTGTCTGGCCTATTCTTCCCTTCAACCAAATCAACGCTGAATACTATAACGCTGAATACTATATTGGTCTCACAGCAGGCTATTGTTTTCCATTCGTTGCCGTATTGCTTGGGTTTGCGAAGCATGTGTATGTTGGCGTAGGCAGTGGGTACGTCCCACGCCATCATTGTTTCGTCGATACAAACTTTGTCAGATGGAAAGAATGACTTCTCCATATTATCATTCCATGCTGGCCACAAAGTCCGTATGCCATAGTCTTTATCATATTTTTCTTGTTGCGTAACCGGATCCTCCCTCAAGACGAGACACTTAAGTATATACTTGTATCTAACGATAGGCATATAACGCTACGATTCAGGCAATGTATTCAGATGACGACGTTCTTTCTTCCAAAATTCGTCAACAGATGATGCATAATACTTTGCAATCAGTATACGTATAGCCAGCCACACCATGAACTTACTAGTGCCCTCATATTTATGTTCGTGTTAGGTATGAGATCGTTCTTAGCCCATTCCATAGGGAAGAAATGGTCAAACAACTCTACATAGTTTGCCTCTGTTGAGAGGCCTTTTACTTTGGCTGGAAATTCTGATATACCGCTAGACGCACGCTAGCAAGCATTCACATATCTGAACGTATCCTCTAGCTCCACCTCTTCCAGTTTCGTATCGTCAGGAAGCGGTACAAGTGTTCAGTCCAATGTCCCTTGTGATCACCGCAGGTTGACGACGTCTCTGGTCTCCATTAACTTCCTTAGCCGAAGAGTGTGCCATTCGTGTAATAGATTGTGTATCTGTTGTTGGTGTTACTCTACTTGTAGTCTGTGTTGTTGGTACTCTACTTGTAGTTTGTGTTGTACTTGAAGATGCAGCAGGCGTGGCAAGAAGTATTGGATTGTTCACTTGTACGTCGTTATGTACCATTCCCCGAGGATACAAATGAATGTCAAGATTTATCCCTGGACCACTTGCCGATGCAGATTGAGTGTTTAGCAAAGGATCTTGCGTGGCCGAAACGCTTACTCTGCCAGATAGATTTAGTAGTAATTGCGTACTATGCTGTTCATTACTATGTAATGACTCCACTACTGGACGTCGACCTTCAGATACATTGGATGCCAGTGAACATGTCGGTGCAGTCACCGAAGTGCTATGCTGAGGTGACTGTACATCATTGTTTCTCGTTGGATCACTCAGAATACTTGCACGATGTGTCTGTGAAGCCTGTACACGTTCAATCACTGTACAGCCTTCATGGACAGGTATCCTTCCTAGAGTCATCTGCTCAACGTTAGAGAGCACCTTGGGCGGCTTAGGTTGTTTTGGTGGGACCCACTTCTTAAATCGGCTTTTGGCAGCATACATATGATGCCTAATAGCGTCTAAGCTTACCAGGTCAATACGCTTAGCAGGCACGTCCAAATGCGTCCGCCACGTTAGGTAAACTTCATTAAGTATGTATACATCACGTATACCGCCCCCAGTACATGGTAACTTGTCAAATACGGTCACAGTTGCGAATGCACGCCCACTTTTAACCTCATGTTGGTTGCAAACGGTAGTAGCGGACGAAGGATGAAGGGTAGAAATCGATACAGTACCAAAGGTACCTACTTCATATACACCTTGCTTCATTCGGATGAATATTCCGGTCAATTTGGGCTATTGAACACGCTTACAATGGGTCGGAAACTCAAGATATCGAGCTATACATATGTGCACATAAATAAATAAAAATCACGGAAATCACGTACAGCACCTTTGATATGTTCTAGTTGTGCTAGCGCGCCAAAATTGGTGGCGCTGGATTCGTGGCGCCTTCCACTATCTCTCCAACGGTTCCTGAGCATTTACGATTCGTTTGAAGTGTAATTACGACATGTTTTATATTGGTACACCATCGTGTATCAAATACACGATTTTTTATTTTAATTTTTAGCTCACAAGTAGGCGGTAGACACATCAAAGTGGTGTACTTTGTATTTTTCGAATGCTGCCCGTGCCAAGAAAGTCCTCAGGGTAACGAAAGACGCTGCGGGGTCATAAGTTTCATAATAGGAGTCTCCATGTTCTTGTTGGCCGCCGCGGGCCACCATTCTTGCTTTGTATATTATCAAGTTGCCGTTTTCATCATGTTTTCGACCAAGACGTACTTAGAGTGAATTATTTTGGCATCTTTGGAAACTTCTGATATGGGGATGACATCAGCGAGTTCATTTCTAATATGAGCTTGATGTTCTATGTATATCGCTTCTTTCCATAGGGGCCAGTCGGGGGCAGCCTGAGCCTTAGCTATGCTTTTCGGGACAGTGGGGTCAAGGAGAGACATGGTCTCGAATAGAGTAATCTCTGAACGGTGAGAGGGTTGTACGGCTAGTGCTCGAGGTGGGGTAACTGTCCGGGGTTTGAAGGTGGCCGGGGGAGCTGCAGGACCCTGCGGTGATTTAGACCAGTGCGGACCGCATTCGGCGATGACATTTAGCAGGGAATCATCGGAGTCTATCTGGAGGTTGGGTGGTAGAGAAGGCGAGGGGATAGCCGAGGGGTCAATGGTTGAGATAGGGGAAGAGTAGATATGTGTAGTCGATGTATCACTGGGAGGGATATTCTCGCGGTAGTCGTGGATAGATGCGAAGTCGGGGTTGGAGTCGGAACTGGTTTCGATGAACGTGTTGTGGGTGTCCATCGCTAGGTTGCTGTCGAATCCGAGGTCGTTACCAAGACGGAGAGAATCGTAAGTGGCGGGCGGTGGAGTAGTGGGGTGAAGCGAAGGGGTCGCTGAGGCGGGAGAAACTGAAAGGTGAGGAAGGAGCCGAAAATGGTGTAGACGGTTGAGTAGCTACAGGGGGTGGTGTAGGTGAAACAAAGGGGGTGGCGACGGAAATCGGGGCTTCCTGGGTCATCCAATCCTTGGGGGATGGAATAAGAGCAGAGAGTGCTGGATCGCGTGGCTCGCTTGCCGTCTGAGGACCATTCGTAGCGTTCAAGAGGTAAGAATTGGACGTTGCGGGTATAATGGCGCCGTTGTGTGCGCAGGCTCTGGATGAGCCCAGTGTCGTGAGTGTAGTTGGGTGCTCTGCCCAGAAGAACACCATAGCTAGCTTTAGGCTGGTATTTGTGTTTGTCCGCGCGTGGTTTACCTTCCAGCTTAAATAGACAAAGGCAGCCAAAACGGGTGTCGACTGGTGTTAGCGTGCGGTGTGGGGACTAATAGTATTGTTAGTGTATCTAAAGTATGGTGCATTCGAATGAATTTATTATGATCTCACCCCCAGTTATATACTGATGGTGTTTGTACTAGTGTTCAACCACTTGGGTTGGCCAGGGTAAAAACTCATATGATCAGTATGAGAAACCTTATGCAGAACACTTTAGCACTCGTATATATTTTCTAGAAATAAATATATCATATTCTCTGGTACCACACTCAGTCTTGGACCTCGGCTCTCGGCTAGCTGGTGGCCCGTATCCTATAAATAGAATAGTCTGAGAAGAAGTCTCAAATTACTCTTACGTTCTCTCAGGCTGACCCACCTATAATTATATTAATTTGAGAACAAGTCCCAAATTACTTAACGTATATAGAAATACGCCTCCTACTGTAGTCTCTCAGCTGGGATATGTATGTCTTTCTGGTGCCAAATATCCCTCGGTGTGTGTATGTCAGCTTTGTGGGATAGTGTTTCGTTGCGTTGAATGTATGCCCATCGTCTGGCATCGCTCCATAGTGGCCAGGGCATGCCAGCCTAGAGTAGATTGATAATCGTAAGTTCGTCGATTACCCGGTGAGTGCTCTCAACTTTGCCGTTGAGCTGTTGTGTATGGGGTGGCGTGGTGTTGAAATCAATCTTGTGGGATTGAAGCTTATCCACTGTTTTCGTACATACGAATGTGGAGTCTCCGTCAGCGACTATTTGTTTAGCGTGCCAGTGACTGGGAATCTTAAGGACGAGTTTTTCAACTTCGTGATGCATGTCTTGTTTGTCCTTGAGGGCCTCGTACAGTCCGTATCGGCTGCCACCATAGATGAGGTCTAGGGCGAATCGGTTGCCGTATCGATCGGCAGGAAAAGGACCTTGGAAGTCCATGCGTAGTTGGTATCCAGGTCCATACACATTTGTAGAATTCGAGTGCTGAACGTCATTTGCTTTGATCTTTGCCTCGAGACAGGTCGGGCAGTGTTTGGCGAATTCGGGGTGAGCTGTGGCGTATGTGATGGCCGCTGTAAGATCGGGACCTGGCGCAACACCGGAGCTGATTGAACCCACTTTGGCGATGATAGAAAATGCCCAAGATGGTTTACCGACAGTATCAGTGCCGTGCCGTAGATAGGTGTGCTCATTATGTGTATAATGTAAGGTTGGTTCTGAATGCGAGGTAAGAACTTGCTCCACCAGGTAGCTTTGGGACGGTAATAACCGTGTCGAGTAGAGCGTGTATGTAGGACCATTTTGAATTGGCGTAGCATTTGTGCTTATGAACATCCACTTTTGTCCAACAGGAGGCGACGTTACCGCCGGGACCAGCGAACTTGGGAAGCATGTTGGTACGGGTAGAAGCGAAGAGGTCAACGGTGGGTGCGAAGTCTATATGGCGCATGCCTTGGTCGAAGTCTGTGCGGTTATCATCCACTCTTTGGTGGTGACACCTGGAGGAGGCGTTTCGAGGAGGGTGATGCCGCGTTTCTGTGCCATTTTGTACGTAATGACAGGGATGACCTTGGGGTTGCCAGGCGAAGGTGTACGAGTAGGAGGGGTGTCGGTGCAGCAGAAGGGCTTGGAAGAGGCGTTGAGGTGGGGCTGACATCGGGAGGTGCAGCCGAGGTAGGTGGAAGGATGGGAAGAGAGGCGATGGCCGGAGGAGGTGTGTTATGTGATAGAGGCGCATGAGGTGTGCCAACCTGGGGCGGTCCGGGACATGGCGTTATTGGGGTGGCGTTGCGGGCAGCGGTTGGTGGTGTGGAGAGTCGTGTGAGGTCTGCGTAAGAGATGCTATACCCCCCTTTAGTGCGATGGAGGGTTGTTGATTTGGCACCGTGTTGAAGGATTCAGGTGGTGGTATTAGCAGGAAAGGATATACTATAGCCGCCGTCCTGAAACTGATTTGAGATACCAGCTGTTGGCGTACAGTGGAACAGAGATATGCGTCGCCTAGGTTGGGAAGTGTACCCTTCTCTCGGATGATACATTCACGTTCATCTGCCATTAATAAAGTAAATTTACTTTGTTGCACGTTTGTGAGGAGGTATTTGGATTTTGTGTGTAGTAAGTTGACTTCTGCTCCGCCATCGATGAGGAGTGAGTCAGCGTGTGAAGCGTGAACATTAGCAATTTTAGGGACGTTCAGATACTGAAAGTTCTTTTTATTGTCTCTTCTATTGCAAAGTTCTTTTACATGAGTTGTGCGAGTGCATACGGTACACTTGAGATTGGTGTCGGGGCAATCTGATCCGAGATGTCCTGTCTTTGCACATTTTCCACACGCCTTTTTACAAGCCGCGGACCGGTGATTGTCGGCATAGCATACAAAACGCGGTGTCTTACGGAGTTCACGGCCTGTTTCCAATCGATCCATACGCTGTACCAATGTAGTGAGGATATCGTTAGAGGCGACGGCGTTTGGTGTCATGGTGGAGCTCTTGGTCTTCGAGAAGGCCGCGGCACGGGGTGTGCATTGCTCGACAGTAGGGTCTTTGATCTGGGGCGTGACGCGTTCCCAGCGCTCGAGGTGTTCACAGATGACGGAGATGTTTACCTGGTTGCGGTCACGAGAGGCGACTAAGAAACTACGGACGATATCTTTGTCGGCATCACCAAGGCCCGATAAGTAGATACTTTGCATGAAAGTGTTACTGAATGTGGTGCCTTGTTCTTGAGCGGCGTGTTGGACGAGACTGCACCGATGCCACCAGGTGCGAAGTGTATCCTGTTCCAGCCGTTTGAAATTTGTAAGGAAATCGAGGGTAATTGAACCGTTGTGCTTGGTGGACATATGGCGGAACATGTCGTTGAGATAGAAGAGCATCGCCCAGAGATCTTCAGCTAGTTCGATGGCGGACATGGAATCCATGATTTCGTCGCTGAGAGATCTAAGGAGAAGACTACGGGCCTTTTGGTAAGTGCCATTGGCCCCGGTTTCTTTGATGTAGTCGTCTAGTTCGCTGAGTCGGACGCGGTCCGTTTGTGGGGTGCGTTTATGGAGCGGAGTGCTTGCGGTGACATCGAGCATGTGGCGACGAACGTGTTGGTATGAGAGAACACTTTCAAGGTCGTCGCTGAAGTCCATGGCGGCAGCCACGGAGAGATGGGTGAGCCATTTGTCGTAGTTGGAGCCATCGGGTTTTAGTCCGGCCCACTTGATTATATAAGCAGAGCTTTCGCTTGAGGAGGATTAGTCGTTCATAATAGTGATTTAGAAGACTTTAAATGCCCATAACCTATAGAGCCTAATAAATTGTTATTATCGGAAGAACTAACTTTATTAGATTTTATGTCATGTATTTTATATGCCCTAAAACTGTTATTGTCCAAACTGTGGACCGAGGTTAGGTCCGGAGTAGTAATATTACGGAGTAGCCGAGGTACGTGGCCGAAATACGCTGGAGTTAGAGAACCATAAAGTATAGGCTTCTCATG